GATACTCCACATGCAAGCCAGATCGCGACCACGACCTTGAGAGTCTTGCCAGTCACACTGTCAATTCTGATTTGCTAACCGTCCTCTCACCCCTGTACGCAGTTTGCCATACCTGTATTGGATAGCCAATAGGCACCTTCCTCCAACGCCACATCGCTGAAGTGTTGCCGAACCCCGATCCTTGGACGTCCAAGAACGTCTTCTCCGGACATTGGACGGCTCCATCGCCCGTATTGGGAAGCAACATCTCACCCTGCCTGCGTCTGACCTTGTAAGTAACTGATTCTCTTCACGCTGACTGAAGAGAAACCATAAGCCTGACACAGCTCATATCAACGCCTTGTTGGACATGAACTAATCGCAAGCGCGCGGACACGTTTCCCCAGTCTCACTTTGGTTTCCCTTGTTCATCACGATGCTACATTCAAAGCGACCTAGCGCTTCCTTTGCGCCGTAGTAAGCACACGGAGCGGACATCTCATTGATCATCCGGAGATTTGGTGACAAATGGTCCAGCTTCGGCATTTCCTGTTAATGGTACTATGACCTGCCAAAGAATCCGCAAACCTATAGCTCAAAGCATTTGAGACAATGCCTGACAGCAGTGTTTTTTAAGCAAGACATGTGGCACGGTAAACTGGCTGTGTTTTGTCAGCTAACAGTGTTGATCCAAGGAATCGAATTCAAATGGATGGAACTTGCCACTCCTCCATGGTCCTCAGCACAACAGATGAAAGTGCCTCACGAGAGCCTCAAAGTTCTCGGCAACTACCGAGTTACAGTTTTTGTCTTCTCTATTTTTCTGCGAGATGGGCTTTGGTGATGGGAGACAATCCACATAGGAATCCCTTTAGCCTATCCATCCGGTCTAGGTACTCGTCTGGGCGCCTGGGGTCGTCCAAGGGCGTTTCTAGCGCAGACGAGTAGGCCGAGCTGACAGCTAAGCTGTTCATGAGCTTTCCCTGCTGTACGGGCATAAGTAGACTGACAACCAGAATTCCAACATCCAGGAAAATATTGATATGTCCGTGGTTAAGACCGCAAACTCGTTCAACATAAAGCAGCCTTGTGCATCAACCCCGGCGGCGATATATTGTCTTATGCACCCCGCCATTTGTCCCCGGAAAAGGGACCGCTCTTCCATCAGCACACATCCCGTATACTCAAGCAACCGCAGCTACGCCGAGTTCATGTCAGCTTCGTTTCCACTGCGCCGGGCAGAGACGTGAGGTTCGATGGATTGGAAGAGCTATTGACCTTCCTTTTAGGGACGAAGTAGGCGGCCCGCACAGATGCACCCCAGACTTGACACATTGGCATTGGTTTGACAATATCATGGGGTCGGACCTCAGACCACATGGTTGTGGTGAAAAACATCTTTGCTTCTTCTCCGCTTGCATCCGGAGGATCGCACTTGGCCCGACTGGACACGACGTCGGTACCGAAGACCCTTTCCAAGACCGTACATTCTGTAGATCATAGGGGTCTGCCGCCCCTCAGGAGTCTCCGGTGCCAACTGAATGCCCGTTGTCACCACCTGCCGCTGCTTCTTTTGTTCATGGACTGATCATGGTCCTGCTCGAACATACTCACCGTGGCTAAGAGTTCGTGGCACAAGTGTCCGGCTGCTACGCCCGCTGGAGGTTGACAAAACCTGGTCGTTGACAAAACCTGGTCACAGACCGAACAAGACAGGTTATCTTATGTCAACATCGAGCCTCTCTGGTAGCCATCTATCTCCAACAACAAGTTCCCCGGTACTAGTGAACGAGAAGCAAAACTCACATGATCAGCCGTTGTGTTTTCCATACCTACCTCTGCATTCCTGAACCAAGCAAGCCACAGAGAGTCTAGTCTTCGGCATTGACGTCCAAGCGGCAAAATGAAGGCGTCAATCAGCATTCTGCACTGCATGCCAAAACCACGTGCCGGTAAATATCGCAATGGTCACACGGGCGGGATGGGATCGGATTGAAGCAGTAACCTTCCTCGCGTTTTCCTTTCTCGGATATCATCATCTCACTTGCCTACAGGACCTACTCTATGCCGCTTTGGTGTTGCGGAGGGAAGCACAAGGGGGATCACGCACAGAACCGGTGGGAGTTCAGAGTTGGGCCGTACCAAGCTTTACTGCTATACTACGGTATCTACTCTGGGGGAAAGATGAAGCATATCATGATCGGCAAACACCAATACCTGGAAGAGAGACCACGTACAAGTTTCTTATCAACAGAAGATCAGATGTGTGATCCTTACTTTCTTCAGCTATAGGTGCAGGACGACCGACTCAATATACCATATCAGATGGTAGGTGACAGTGGGGTTAGATAAGCGGTGGTAAATTGCTGGTTAATTAACATGACGCTACCTTTCTATGAGGGCCGTACGCTGCTCATGATGATTATCACGTTAAGTTGACGGTCTGATGATGGGTCTGTGTGGTTAATCGCTGGGCTTGTTTGTCCGAAAACCAGAAGTTGTCGGACTGCTCTTCAACGAAGCTGCAGGTACTTACTGAGAAGGAGAACCATCGCTTAGATGAAGACCGACCCCCAGATATTGAACATATTGATCACTCAATTATGTGCACTTTTTTGACAGTTGATTTTCAAAGAAGACTGACAGCCTCACAACAGTCCCTGCTCTACCTACGGTTTTCTATGACTACTTAGCTGTCGCCAAACTCAAACTCGAGCATTCACAAGAAGAGAAACCCCATCCCTCCACATAGTCCGCAAATTGCAAAAAAAAAAACTAAAAAAAAAAACTACTCACCACAACAAAGCAAGCCAAATCAACGCCGTGCATCACCATCGATATTGGTGGGATACATACCTTACCTCTCCAAAGGTGAGGTGGCAGATGTACTACTAAAGTGCCGTTAAAACCCTCCCCCAGTTCGGCACTTACTTACACTACATGTACATCACGACCCCTGTCTCCCCCACAAACCGCTAACGACTGTAACCTACCTTACTGTAGAACTCCCGTCCGCCATTACGCACCCAACTCGGACATATCCTCCGCCTGCCGTGTCATCTCCGTCGAGGATTTTCACTGTTTCCCGGCACTTGTTGATGCATTTTGCTCCTCCTCCTCCTCCTCCTCCTCCTCTCTCTAGGGTTTTCGTTCATGCTCGTGAGGGTTCCAGCGGGCTCGGAGGTTAATCCGCCTTTGGGAAGATATGCGGTAGGTAGGTAGCTTGATATTCAGATAAGCTGGGAAGGGCTGTACTTGGTTAGGTAGGTAAATCTAGATTTTTGCGAATTTTTCCTTCTTTGCGAGGAACAAAAAAGAAAAGAAAAAAACGAGTATCTTCTCTGAATTGTATGGATATTCTGAAGTATAGCACACTCATATGGCTAGAGGCTCACAGAACTGTTTGTTGTGAAAGTCCTAGACTTGGGAGTCTTAATCGCGACTACCTAGCCGCAACAGGTGCTTGCAAGCTGCAGCCCTCGGAGGTAGGTACTCGATCCGCCGCTAGTCACGGCAGACGGTCGATTTTGAAGACCTGAAGAGTAGGTATCATTTGCTTTTGCGCGGCACAAAAGATACGCGGTTTGTTTCATTGGACACTAGACAATATTGAAGTTTCGGAGGGAGATTTCGGGAATGATCTTTACATGCTTGATACCCAGTTGCTGGCCAGAACTTTGGCAAATTTCCAGTGTCGTTGGTGATGCCCGGACCAGGAGTGTGTGTCAGAATTGTTGCAGTAACTGCAGTTTGGAGCGTCTGTTATAGGCCAAGAGATCGAAGCGATCTAATGTCAATCAACAAATAGCGCCAGTGGTTTAGTGGTAAAATCCATCGTTGCCATCGATGGGCCCCGCGTTCGATTCGCGGCTGGCGCATTTCTTTTTTGTTTTTTTTTTTCCTGGCTTTTGTTTTTTGCGATCTCTTCTTCTCATTGTTCCTTTTTTTCTCCCTTTTCTTTTTTTTTTTTACAGACTCTCTGTTCCTTGCCTACTTTCCTAAATGCTATCCTAGTAATTTACTTTTTTCCTTGTGAGTCGGCTTAATTTACATAGTAAGCTGGATCACGATGCTCCGACAGAAACTACTTATGCACACATTGTTCTTTGCAAAATGTAAACAAACAACTAGTAACCATTTCGTCTATCCTCTGAGAAACTTTTGACAAACGAGGCATTTCGTTGTTTTATTAAATGCGAAGTTATTCCCAGAGCCCTTCCTCAAATTCTGCAACGTCTTCTTCTAACGCATGCGCAAACAGGGCAGCTGCGACACAACGCCCACCAGCAGCCTCAAAGCCGTTCGGGTGGTCTTGGCTTTTCAGTACCGATATCTCACAAAAATAGTGTCTGGTATATTCAAGGTAACCTCCAAGGTCTTGAAAATACTTGTGTGTTAGTTTTACTGTTTGAATTTATCACGCTGAACCCGAGTGTCTTCTGTTTTTTTTTTTTGGGGGGGGGGGGGGGGGCGCGATGGCGTTTAGCGGCACGGTTTTTCGGTCCGTTCTTACAAGTTCATGAAATGAAACTGCACCTGCCTGTTCAAATAGGAGCACCGAGCTCTTATCGAAGTTACGCCCAACTCCTTCACCTTTAAGTTTCCAGATGATGCAGACCTCGCATATGTGGAATAGAAAGTGCAGGACGAGGGAAACTGCCCCTGGGCATTCTCGCATGGCGACTTCCATTTGTCATCCTCTCACAGGAATTTTATCACGGCTGTTCACAAAAACCTCTTTCCCATTTAACCCGACGAATATCTTGCTCGGTTCCTTACCTGCTCCTCGAAGTGAACACCATCCGCCGCAGAATGTGCGTTCATCATTCAGTTGGTATTGCGCCTCCGTTCCTTGTTAGCTCCTACCAACCCGTCCGAATAGTGCGGTACGGTCCATTCCTTCCTACATCATCATCCTGTAGACTACCAGGAAGACTTCTTACCATCAATTCAGGAAGGCACCGTCGCCGTTGTACGCTAAATATTGAAAACCTCTACAGAACGCTAAAACCCTCGTAACAATGGGAAGCACAACCCTTGACAAACTGAGTGAGGCCCTCCTTACCATCGATGACCTTGGAGATCCCAGCTTTCTTCAAAAGCAAGACGTGATTCGGGACACCGGCATGGAAACTTCGATACTACAGGTGCGTACTATTGTGCCCAACATTTCGACCGAGGTTTCCAGACACTAACGGAATCGTGATAGATTGTTCTGGTTGGAGGTCGCTCTTCCGGCAAAACCTCTCTCTTGGAGAGGCTCACAGGATGCACCTTCTTCCATTATGTGATTGACAATCTTAATGCCAAGACCCTCGCAGATACGGTCGAGCAGGTATATCAACTCCCTTTTGATCACCCAATGCGTTGAGTTCCCCGTTGACCACGATTACAGGCAGCAGCTGTGATGGGCCTCCGGAAGGGCCGTGAGGACAATGAAGATGATGTGTCCCTGTACAGCGAAGATATTTTTGAGATTCAAATCTCTGGACCTCATGTATGGCGTTCTCTTTCTCTAATACTCCCACAACTAGGTAATGCCAGGGCTATGCTGATCAAACGATCACTCCAATCTAATCTTGCATTTATCGACACTCCGGGCCTGATTGGTTCCGAATCTCTTGGTCCGTACATGAGCAGCAACCTTCCACGAGCGTAACTTGAAACTGACAATTAGTTTGAAGACAGCGAGGGGAAGAAGAAAAGGTCCATGATAGACGGCATTGCACGGAAGCATCTCATGAACGAACAAACCATGTATGTCACAGCCTATTCCCAACTCTTCTCGTATCATTATCCTGTAAAGTCTGCCAATCATGACTACGATCATAGCATTCTTGCAGTTATGTCGCCCTTTTCCGATCACGCCAAAGAAGACGTTCTACAACTTGCCAAAGCCGCTGACCCACGCGGTGAGAGGACGCTATGCGTCCTGACACACGCCGATGTACGAACGTCTAGCGTACAGACCACTTTCCATCCGTTTCAGGAGGATACACACGGTTTGGGCTGTTTTTGGGTCCGAAATCGTGGCGCTGGCAAAGGTGAGCTTAGCGCCGGCCAGGTCAGGGCGAGGGAACTGGCACTTTTTGCCGAATCTCAATGGGCCAACTTCTCTGGACTTGAGGCTGAACGGACCATTGTTAACGCCCTGAAGAGTGCGTTGCAAATGCCACTGAGGGATCTTGCCAAGGAATGCCTTGATAGACAAAGGACTACAGTCCTAGTGCGGTTGTCTTCCTGCAAGAACGAGCTTCTGGCGTTAGGCCCCGCGATAGGTACGCCTAACAGTCAGCGCGAGTACCTGATGGAGCGCGTATCAAACTTTAAGCGACTGGCTTCTGCCGCACGGGAAGGCCATTACCATGGCGCTGATTGAGCCTTCGGCACAAATCTTGTGTACAGGCTTGTCTCAAATATTACCGAACTCAATTACGAGCTTTGCAGCAGGATGCGGAAAAGAGGGCACCGCTATTAGTTCCAGAAGGAGGTGGATGATGAACGGGTTGATTTGAGTTCCCAGAACGATAAGGAAGCTTTGAACGAACTTCGCGATTGGGCTGCTTCTTGCAAAGAACTTGGGCAAATCCCGCAGCATGAAATACGAAAAGGAGAGCACTGTGCGTTCATCAAACCGGAAGATAGTCTCATCAACTATCTGAAGGCGGTGACTGCCAAACTTCCGCGACGGGGACTACAGTTAATTGTAAGTTTGAGGCCGAGCGGACCAAGAGGAATGCCGATGGCTAACTTCTCTACAGCATGGGAATTCGATTTTACCATGATTTTCCGAGAACAAGCAGCAAAATGGGCCCTCCACGCCAACTATCTTATGGAGTCGGCCATCATCACTGTCCATCGCTTCATCTATGAAGTGATGGAAGACGTCTTCGAGCATCCAAATGCTCGCAAAGAACTACAGGACCTCATGAGCAAAAAGATTCTCAAGGGGTATAGGCAGGCATGGGACCACAAGGAGATTCTGGTCAAGATGGAACTTGGCTGCCGGTGTCAAACATACAACCCGAACCTGGAGGAGGCCATCATGAAGATAGGCTGGGAGGACTCGCGAACAACTTTGGTCGAGTCCTACCACGATCAAAAGCGCCAACTCGGTTCTGAAAGGGCATTTGACGCCGCTGTGGAGGCTGCGTTTGGCTCCTGCGCACCGGTCGATGAGCTTCATGACATCTTGCAGGCCTACTACAAGATTGCCACCGACAGATTCCCCGATAACATCTGTCGGCAAGCGGTCAGCTATTTCTTGCTCAAGGCAGACGAGAGCCCGGTAAAGATCCCCACGGCAGAGTTCATTGCAAACTTGAGCGACTCGCAGCTGGAAAGGATTGCTGGCGAGGATGCGATGACGAGAGCGAAGAGGCTGAGTCTTGAAGCGGAGCTCGAGCCTTTGGAGAAGGCACTGAAGGTGTTGCGGGAGTAAAGGATTGAGGGCGTTGACGGAGCAAGACTGTCAGGTTGGGTTCAATACAGACTTCACGGTGAGGTAGAAGGAAGAAAAGATGGGTATCTTTCTTGGTCAGGTATGAGCAATGTCTTTACTACATTTTTTTATTGTTTTCACCCTTTCATGGTTGTTCACATCAAGATGACAGAGCGTAGGCCGCGAAATCAATGAGACCAGGCAAACAAATAAACTACCAACAAGCAATACCTAGACTCGCTAGAGCGACAGCACTAGAAATCCTTTGCAAAAGACCAAAAAACATGCATCAATTTTGCTGGGCATCGGGCACAAAAATCACCGACTAATGTAATCTCCGTTTGTGGTGGCGCCAATCCCGACCAGTCAGTGATATTTCAAGGCTTCACGTCCGTTGTATTATCGGCAGTAGACATCCACTTACGGGAGAGGCCTACTATGCGCCGCGGGATGGTACTCGCAACTTTGTTTGTCCCAACCCTTTCAGTGTTCACACCCTCGACAGCAATAGCTGGAAAAAGATGGCTTCAGACCTGAATCGAACATGATAGTGGTGACCAGGCTTGTCGGGCAAGTGGGAGGCCATTTTAGGCTTCAAATGAGCTGTTTGTTGCAAACAGTGCCCATGTTGGAGAAGGTCAAGGTTAGCTACATACGAGGAACCGCTACGACTAACCACCTTCGACGAGAAGGTCGGAGGTAATTCAGGCGAAGGGAATTGGAGGATAAATACACGCTCTTCTCGTGAGTTTCTATGTCACTTATCCTCTGTCATTCATCCTTTCCAGCTCTTAAGGAGAAGATTCGTTGTCATCCTTACCTATCTTCAACCATAGGGGCTCTCGCATGGACATTTTCGACAAACTTCTGCTTCAAAGACCAAAGTTTCCGCAGCCAGCACCACCAACACCACCGCCAACATCATCGTCATAAGCACCAGTGCTACGTCCGCTACCACAATCACCAGCGTCATTATCAGGACCAACACTAGTACCAGCACGGCCAGTCCCAAAAAGACCAGTACCAGCACGACCAGCACAAACATCAGCACTAGCAGATCCTTCTATTCTTCCTGTCAAGATGAGCACCCCACACAACAGGGTTAAAGGCGTCCAAGGTCTCGACAGCCTAGGAAACCACATCTACCTAGAGAAGCAAGATCGTCTCAGAGATATTGGCATCGACATACAGACCTCCCAGGTAACTAACTCTCCCGTCCCAAACTGTCCCAGTCTCGTCGCACATAACCAATACTGCCTCACCTTACCTCAAAAATCGAAAACTAAATTTTTCGTCTGCCTTCTAGATCGTCGTAGTAGGCGGCCAATCCTCCGGCAAAAGTTCACTCCTCGAACTCCTGACCGGCTTCGCCTTTCCCCGAGGCCAGGGTCTCTGTACGCGGTATGCCACGCAGATCACACTGCGCAGGAACCCGGCTGTGAGCATTGTGATTTCGATCACGCCAAGGAATGATTGTGGTGAGGAGCTTAAGGCGGAGCTGAGAGAGTTTAGGAGGGAGTTGGAGGAGTTTGATCCGAAGGAGTTGGGAATGATTATTGAGGATGTGGGTTCTTTTTCTTGCTTTGTTACTGCTGAGATTTCATGTCCTGGTAGTACTTTGGTGAAGAGTTGATGGATGGCTACTGACTGGGGATTTTCTTTTAGGCTGCTGCGGTTATGGGCATTCGTTCCGGTGATAACAAGGACGACACGTCTTTGCCGATGTTCAGTGATGATATCTTGAAGGTTGAAATTTCGGGTCCTGATGTGAGTCAAATTTCCCATGACCCTGTCCCATGGTGGTTGAACCAGCCAAATTTAACAACAATGCAGCAACCTCACCTTACCGTCATCGATGTGCCTGGACTGTTCCAGGTTACCGGGGATGCAGGTCAGTAGTAGCATAGGCGCAGTGAAAGTGGCACTTGGAGATATCTGCTAACATTTTGAGCCAGGAATCACTGAACTGGACAAGACCATGGTGGAGAGAATGGTGAAGAGATACATGGCAAATGAGAGAACAATGTATGTCAACAACCACGCCCCTTTGTAGTCCCTTACACTGACGATCCCGAAGTGTTCTAGCAGTTGTACCTGCTCTTTCTGATCCAGCCACGGAACGCATCCTTCAGCTGGCCAAGGAAGCCGACCCGTCCGGTGTCCGGACTATTGGCGTTCTTACCAAAGCCGACTTGGTCTATGAGAAAGCCGTCCTCAGCAATTTGCTCAGGCAGGTGCAAAGTAGTACTCTCAAGCTAGGCTACTTCATTGTTCGTAATAGAGGTGCCGATGAAGACGACCTCTCTGTCGACCAATGCAAGCTTAAGGAACGCGAGCTCTTTCTCAAGCCTCAGTGGAGTGAGATAACTCGCATTGGCCGTACTGGAGTTGGAGCTCTCCGCGTTGAGCTTCAGAACTTGCTGATGGACCTGGCCAAGCGTGAACTGCCGAAGCAGAAGGCTGAAGTCATGAACAGGCTCTCTGATTGCCAGGATAAACAGAGAGAAATGGGGATCGCCAGACCGGATCCTGTCACACAGAGAGAATACCTTACGAAGCATGCCTCCAAATTTGAGCGCATTTCTCGAGATGCGCTGGAGGGACGATATGGAGTGAACCCAATCTTCGCCGAAAAGCCCGAACTTAGGCTGATCACCAAAATTATCAGTTTGAACGAAGGGTTCTCAGACCTGATGTGGAAAAAAGGTCACTTACGCAACTTCGTGGGTAGCACTCCCAAGGAAAAGACGAGTAGATACGACGCCGACGGCTCCGAACAGTTCGAGTACGAAAAACTGGCAAACGAAGCCCATGGTGTCGCTTCTTCGTTCCCAGAACTCAGGAATGTCTTCCCCAACGACAGTTTTGAGTGCGAACCCCCTTCAGATGATCCGATCATGGAACACATCGGGCAATGCCATCAGGAGAGCAGAGGTCCGGAGCTCGGAACGGTATGTATCTCCATTTCTGCTTGCCTTGGTGCTTCCTTGTTTAAAGTTAGGTCTAGTCTGTACTGACCTTGCCACTTTCTCATTCAGTTTGGCGGATCGATGCTCCCCATCACCTTTCGCGAACAAGCTCGAAAATGGGCTCCGATTGCCGAGGCCCACGTCCGTACGGTAATCATCATGGTCCACTGCTTTATCAAGCAACTGCTCTCCACCGTCTTTGTCGACGAGCGCATGCGCGACGAGCTCTGGGATTCAGTGCTTCTCGATACGCTTGTGAACGCCTACAGCCGTGCCCTGCGCAAGGTTGACTACCTCATCGGCATCGAGCTCCGGAGTTGCCCATCAACGTACAACCATTATTTCGCCGATAACATGCAGAAGTCGCGCACGGAGAGGTTGGAGGCCCAAGTCGCTGTTCTGGAGAAGGAAAACCAGGCTCATGAGGATAGCGCACCGGTAAACACAAGGGCCGAGCTGAAGAAGATGGTCAGAGAGAAGAGCAACGCTGAGCAGGTCAAGGAGGATATCCACGACACGCTGAAGAGCTATTACAAGGTGGCCAGAAAGCGGTTCGTCGATGTCATGTGCCAGCAGGCTATTGACGACCACTTGCTGAACGGGGAGGAGAGTCCACTGAGGATTCTGACGTCGGATATGGTGGCCAAGATGAGCGATTCGCAACTGGATCGGATTGCGGGAGAGGACGCCGCTACAAAGAGAGAGAGGAAGATGCTCGAAGATGAGATTGCGGGGTTGAATACTGCCTTGGATGTTCTGCGAAGCTGAAGAGAGGAGCGGGAAGATAAGAGGGAAGGAATGAAGAGTGTCTTCGCACAGACTCCGCCTGCTTCATCCTAGGCCAAGTGGCCGAGAACCTTGATGGACCGCTCATGTTTAGTACACTAGATCCCATAGAAACACTTTCTCCTTTTCTTTTTGTTTTTCCCCCTTATTTCTCTTTTATTCGATTTCATACCGGTACATAATCCGCACATGTGCCATCGTTTAGGTTCAACTCAACATTTTGAATCAAGGTCAGGTCCCCAGTCAACGGTCGTGGAGCTCCGGCTCGTGAGCACGGCCTCAATTTATTGCGAAAGCCTTCCGAAAGCCTTCCGGTGTTTATCCCCGACGTACATCAACTATCCGGCCATTATCAATTATGTGGCCTGATTCCAGAAGTATGTGACGTCTGATTCTCAATCCTTGAACGCCTTTCCTTACCACTGTCCCATCTGATCTACGATGTTCCTGAGAAATTCCCATAAACTCCAGGTCCCTGCTTTGGAGTCCGGACAAATCTCCGGCAATATCTTTGTCTAATACCACCCTTCGAATATGCAAAAGATGATTTGTTGCCCAAGTTTTTGTCCATTCTCATTGTGCTCTTCAATGAAGGCTTGGTTGCTTCCAACTTCTGCGGATCAGCACAACTATCAGGTACGCAAAAACCAACGAACTGAAAATATTGAGCATCATTACCTAATCTACCGAATTCCGCTAATTGTCTTCTCATTATTTGGTGTATGTTGTTCTAATCATCGTCATGGTTGCCAGCGCTGGAACAACTCAAGAGAAGCCCGTCACCCCGGGTGATCCTGTACAAACTGAGCAGCAAAACAAAGTCCTGAGCAGCCCCGGTCAGCTTGAGAAAGAAGACAAAACTCTGGGCAATCATGTCCATATCAAGAAAGAAGACAAGCCCCTGGGTGAACATCAGTATCTCGAGAAACAGGATCAGCTTCGCGATATTGGCATTGCTACTGGCACATCCCGGGTACGTCAGCCTAAAGATCTGGCCAAGCAGAAGATCTCTGAACCGACGAAGATATCCATTAGATTGTTGTTGTTGGGAGCCAGTCTTCCGGCAAGAGCTCTCTCCTTGAGAACTTGACCGGCCTTTAATTTCCACGTGGTCCGGGTCTTTGCACTCGTTTTGTCACACAGATCACTCTGCATCGTGGCGACTCTTTTGGAGCCACAATAACCATCATGCCGTCTTCGTCATCCAGTTCGGATCGGAAGTCATATTTGAAGCGGTTCCGGTACACGGTCGATGGTGACTGGCAGATTTCGGACTTGCCGAACATTATCAGCGAGGTGAAGAGTCACTGTGCCTTCTCCGTCTTCTTATCTACCAGTTCTAATTATTCAACAGGCCAGCACGTACAAAGAGATCATCCTCAAGGTAGGCCGGGAGGACTTGCGAACAAATCTGATCGAGTCCTACAACAATCGAAAGCGCCAGCTCGGTTCTGAAAAAGCATTCGACGCCGCTGTGGAGGCGGCCTTTGGCTCTCGCGGACTGGTCGATGAGCTCCATGCCATTTTGCAGGCCTACTACAAGATTGCCATCGACAGATTTCTCGATAGCATCTGTCGCCAGGCGGTCAGCTATTTCCTGCTCGAAGCAGACAACAGCCCGGTGAAGGTCCTCAAGGCAGAGTTCATTGCAAACTTGAGCGACTCACAGCTCGAGAGGATTGCCGGCGAGGATGCGATGACGAGAGCGAAAAGGCTGGCTCTTGAAGCGGAGCGCGAGCCTTTGGAGAAGGCACTGAAGGTACTGCGGGAGTGAAAACTTTGAGGGCGTCGACGGAGAAAGACTGTCAGGTTGGGTTCAACAGACGGACCTCGAACGGCGAGGAGAAAGCGCCATGTTTTCAAAACAAATAGGTGTTCGGAGAAAAATGACAAAGGATTGGCAGTGGGATCAATGAGCTCAGACGGACAAACACAACCAACAACAAGCAAATACCAACCTAGAGCAGCAACACAAGAAAATGTTCTTAAAATTCCCCAAGACACAAAAGCATGCAGCATCTTACTGGCATCGCATTTATTGGGTACTGTACTCTCCGTTTGTACTGATTCCAGCCACCACAAGTCGCTTCGGCTCAACGCGCCGCGGCCACCGTCAAAGACCGTTGCCGGATTTATGTTCCACCCAAACGTGAGGACACTCAAGCGCGAGGCCTACCACGCGCACACTACTGCGTCTTGGAGCTGTTAATAAGGTGGACAGAGGACGCATTGCTACGTTGAAGTGCGATTCCAAACGTCTGAACGCAGGAGGACGATGAAACGTTGAGCGATGAACGATGAACATGAATGGCGGTGGCGTTCCCCGTTTGTCGGCTCCGTGACCGTTCTCCCGTACCCATTCCCGTTTGTTGCGTGTGCCTTGCGGTTCAATCTTCCGAGGTTCGATCTCTTTCTACAAAAATCGTGGTACTCACAATTTCTGAAGTCAATTTTGACAATAAAGCATGCATTGACTCGCGCTACAAGTCTATAGGTAGCTGATGAATGTGTGAAATTGAAGTGGTATCATCAGTCTTGAGCAGAGCGGGGGATTCTTCGGCAGGCTGGATACTTGCACAAATAGCATGTTCTCTTTGCACACGTAGCTATCCTACGGGAAAAGTGCGTTTGGATATACGTACGCGTACTTTGAAAGATCAAACGTAAAGTAGGGAATGAAAACGCCGTGAGTGATGCCTCTTCTTGGTGTCATTGGCTGCTCGAGGGATCCTTCAACATTGTGCAAGATAAAAACGCCATGAGGTATACTGTGCCGTGATGTAGCCGTTCTCATCACTTTCTCATTCATAGGAGCTTCTGACCTTCCTCTGCCGAGGAGCTGAGTAGACTCATAATCCCGCAACGAGGGGATTTTCTCTTCTCCCTTCCCAATCACAGTCGCCGTCGCAATGCTACGGCTACTCCGCTCGCTGCCTACCATCCCGACCACGGTGTCTCTGAGAGGTTACAGTGTCCCGGGGTCTTCTGTTTCACGACACTCACAGAAACCACCGCATCAGCTGGTAAGTTTCTTTTAATCTGTGTTCCCTCCCTGTTTTGTGTTGACCAGAATAGGAATCACAGGCTACCTACGTCACGACGCACGACACGGCAACATTCCCCGGGAGCCCATCGCCGGAAACTAGTTTTGCCAACCTAGACAGCCTCGGAAACCACATCTATCTCGAGAAGCAAGACAAGCTGCGCGATTTGGGTATCAACCTCCAAACGTCACAGGTAATGCCAACTGAACTGATCCACTTTTGTGGCCCGATCTTGTGGTTCGCTCTTGTCTAATATTTGGATTAGATCATCGTTGTAGGTGGGCAATCATCCGGCAAAAGCTCTCTCCTGGAGAGCTTGACGGGCTTCTCGTTGCCGCGAGGCCAGGGCTGCTGCACACGGTTTGCGACACAAATTACACTGCGGCGCGATCCGGTCAAGAAGACTGTCATCTCGATTACACCTAGAAACAATGCGGATCAGAAGCTGAGAGACACATTGAGGGCGTTTCGGCATGAGCTTACTGATTTTCGGCTCGAGGATGTGGCGAATGTTATTGATAAGGTTTGGAAATCCGTGTTCCAGCTGGTAATTAGCAGCTAACTCTGGGTGGTTCAGGCAAACGTGATCATGGGCATTAGATCAGGTATTAACAAGGATGTCCTCAGCCTCCCAATGTTTAGTGAGGATATACTCAAGATCGAGATCTCAAGCCCTAAGGTGAATGACCGACCAGCAGTGATATTGGGGAGCGATTAGAAGAGCCGGCACTGATATTTGTGCATACAGAATCCCCACCTGACTGTGATCGATGTGCCTGGACTTTTCCAGGTCACAGACCAGCGTAGGTGTAGACTCGTCTGCTGTCGTTCAAGATGCGAGCTGACAATGTCTTGCAGTGGGTTATGCGTCTGATAAAGATAAGCTATTGGTGGAGGCAATGGTCAAGAGACACATGAAGAATGAAAGAACAATGTAAGTTTTCGAGAGACTTATGGTCCTTCCAATGTGCCCAGACTAATATGCTGAGCGACTCAGCGTCTTGGCTGTGTTATCCTGTCTTTCAGACCCTGTCACCGAAGGAATCCTCCAGTTTGCTAAAGCAGCTGACCCCAAAGGCGAGAGAACAGTTGGGGTTCTTACCAAAGCCGATCTGGTAAAAGAAAAGGCAGTACTCCAGTCGCTTTCCAGCTTAGCGATGGGCTCCACATTCAAGCTTGGTTACTTCGTCGTACGAAACCGCGGTGCCGACGAAGACGATCTGGATATGTCCGAGTGCAGGAGGAAAGAAGTCGAACTCTTTGAAAATCCGGAATGGAAGCATATTGCGGATGCCGGGCGTGTTGGAGTTGATGCTTTGAGGACAGAATTGCAGTCCCTACTCACCAGGCTCGCCAAGCGCGAATTACCGAAGCAAAAAGCCGAAGTCATGAAGCGTCTGGCTGACTGTGAGAAAAGAAGCATCTCTTTTGGGCCGCCGAGATGCACCCCAGCAGCTCAACGTGAGCATTTGATCAAGTTGGCGCTAAAGTTCGAGAGGTTGGCAAATGATGCTCTTGAGGGCCTGTATGGAAGGGATGCTCTATTCCGAGAGAAGCCTCCACTGAAGCTCATCACCAAGATAATTGAGCTAAACGAAGGGTTCTCTCACGTTGTCTGGAAGAAGGGCCAAACCTGGAACTTCAAAGAGCAGGCGACAGAGGAGGCCGATGGCACAGAAATTGCCTACATACAGCTGGTGAACGAGGCAGTCGACTGGGCATCAACAATTCCGGAACTGGTGGAGTATCGATATCCGAGGATTAGCACTTTCAAAGACCCCCAGAGTGACATCATGGCTTTCATCAGAGACTGCTACTCGGCAGGTCGTGGACCTGAACTAGGATCGGTGAGTCTATCGTTTCCTGAGAGAGACAGCTCATTCAAGTAACCAAAAACTAACACATCTTCAGTTTGGCGGATCGGTGCTGACAATGGCGTTCAAAGCCCAAGCGATGAGCTGGGACGAAGTCGCTACTCGTCATGTCAATGCATCTGTCCTGGTTATCCACCGGTTTCTATACACGCTTCTCACGGCTCTAATAAAGGATCAGCGAATGCGCGAGGAACTATGGACATGTCTCCAAGATGATCTGCTAAAGGGTTACGGCCGGGCACGCGAGCACGCCAAATTCGTCATCAACACCGAGCTTAACGGTCGCCCGGTCACCTATAATCATTACTTCAACGAAAACATGCAGAGAGCCAGGTTGGACCGCCAAAAGTCCATTCTTTCAGGACTGGAGACGAATAGCCAGAATACTAAAGTCGACCTCTTCAAGGTGCAGTCTCTGTTGAGGAGTGTCGTAGAAAGCAAATCCAATGCCGAGCAGGTTAGGGAAGATATACACGATATCCTCAAGAGTTATTACAAGGTCGCTCGGAAGAGATTCGTCGATAACATTTGTCAGCAGGCGATCAACCATTTCCTCCTCGATGGTGATCAGAGCCCTGTAAAGATATTCACGGCGGACTGGGTGGCCAAGCTAAGCGATCGTCGGCTAAACATCATCGCTGGCGAGGATGCTATCACTACAACAGCGAGGCAAAGGCTGGAAACGGAGCTGGAAGGCCTGAGAAAGGCTTTGGAAATCTTGCGAAGCTGATGCCCATGAGTCGTGGGGCGGCCGGCGCCGTGGAGGACTCGTGTCTTTCTGGCCGATGTCTAACGCGACTGAGGATGATGAATCGAGAAATCGCTCTATCTCTCTATCTCAGGAATCATTAGCAGATGGGATAAGCTGTAGAAGTTAAGCATATGCTGCCGCCTTGCGGATAGGCAAAGATTTCCATGCTGCGAACATGCTGCTCTCCGTGACTGGATGCAAATCTTAGAGGGCTGACACGCGGCACTGCGAAGGGAGAAACCAAGATGTTGGGGATTGCAATCGTGGCGGGCATTGAATCCTTCGATTTTGGAAGAGAATACCGTATGTTCGATGGTTCCTTCTGCGAACTTGTCGAGATGAGGGGAAAGTGGGAGAAGAGGAGAAAAGGAAGGGACGAAGAGACCGCACAGACCTCATGCTGCAAAATGTAAGGCACAGGTGGCTGTGCGGGGACCTTGATGGGCTCTGCCCGGTTCTTCTACTTTACCTGATTGTTATGTCCGCGAAACCAATTTTTTCTCTCTTCCTGGTTGAAGCCGTCATTATAGAATACCATGACGATTGTTGTGTTGTATGTCATGAAGCCGAGTAGATGGCCTGTGGTGTTGCGACTGCTGACGGTCCTGATGCTCCGAAGATGCTGAGCACGGCCTAGATTGTGGACGGCAGCTTCCCAAAAAGCTTCCGGTATTTGTGCCCGAAGTACATCAACAATACGGTCATGATCACTATGTGGCCTGATTCCACTGAATGTGTGGTGTCTTGCGCTTCAGTTCTAGAGCTTTCCCTATCGGCTTCCTAAGGTTCCCATCCGTCCTGCTCCCCTCCTGAAGATGGCCCATCCACTACCCTCTCCGGATTTTGGACATCGTTCCGACACTACCTTTGGCTGGCGACCAACGACCTCTTCAATGTGCATACTGAGGAGTGCCTGGGCACCATATTGCCCAAGACGAACGACTTTTTGTTCCATTTTCATTGCACTTACTGGCGAAGCCTTGATTGCTTCCTACTTCCCCCAATCAAACACGACTATTGGGTATGCAAAAACTAGCGACAAGAAAGATTGAGCACATTCCCTAGCCAAACACAGTTAATCATCTCCTCTTTTGGTGTAGGTCGTTCTGATCATCATCATGGTTGCCAGCGCTGGAACAACTCAAGAGGAGCCCGTCACCCCGGGTGATCCTGTTCAAAGTGAGCAGCAGGACAAGCTCCTGAGCAGCCCCGGTCAGCGTGAGAAAGAAGACAAAACTTTGGGCAATCATGTCCACACAAAAAAAGAAGACAAGCCTCTGGGTGAACATCAATACCTCGAGAAATAGGATCAGCTTCGCGATATTGGCCTTGCTATTGGCACATCGCGGGTACGTTAGCCAAAGGATCTGGCCAAGCAGAAGATCTCTGAACTGACGAAGATATCCATTAGATTGTTGTTGTTGGGAGCCAATCCTCCGGGAAGAGTACTCTCCTCGAGAACTTGACCGGCCTGTCATTTCCACATGGTCAGGGTCTTTGCACTCGTTTTGTCACACAGATTACTTTTATCTACCAATTCTAATTATCCAACAGGCCAACACATAAATGGGTCTCAAGCCCGCAAATGAGGCCAATGACCCGAAGGCGTTGGTTTTCACCAAGCATGTTCTGAAGCTCGAGGTTTTGGGGCCCGATGTAAGTGCTCTTTGGACACCTCTAACTCATTGGTAGTAACTGAGTACTCTAGAAACCTCACCTTACAGTAATAGATGTGCCGGGCTTGTTTCAGGCTACGGGCCAGGGCAAGTGACACGCAATCCGCATATAGAACTTCGTTAACACACCTCTAGGTTATGCCACTGAAGCCAGAAAGGGCATGATTGATCGAATGGTACGGCAGCAGATTGAGAACGAGAGATCAATGTGAGTCAGAGTGTTTTTAGTAGCAGCTTCCATTACTAACGTCTGTAATGGGAAAGCGTTCTAGCCGTTATGCCATGCCATTCCGGCCCAACTACTGAGAGGATTTTAGAATTTGCCAAGGTGGCCGACCCTTGCGGAGAGAGAACCCTCGGCGTGTTCACCAAGCCTGACCTTGTAAAGGAGCAAGCCATGTTCCAGTCCGTCCAAAAGCATATCAAACAATCCCCGCTAAAGCTGGGATATTTGGCTGTGCGCAGTCGTCGAGCTAATGAGGATGACCTCGAACTGACCAGCTTAAGGGATAAAGAGCAAGAACTGTTTGTGGGCCCCGAGTGAAATGGCATCAACAAGCTCGGCCGTACTGGTATTGACCCTTTGAAATCCAACATTCAGTCACTGTTGACTAGACGCAAAACAAGAGCTACCCAAGCAAAAGGCTGAGGTAGCGAAACTTTGGGGGGATCGTCAAAAGTAACGCAAGGCCATGGGAGCACCAAGACCAGGCCCGACCAGCCAGCGAGAATACCTTGTGAGGCTTGCGTCGCGCTTTCAGCTCATGACCCACAACTCTCTTGAGGGCCAGTACGTCCATCCTGATTTTTCACAGCACACTAATCTGAGACTCGTCTCCCTTGTTATCAACATGAACGAGGTCTTCGCAGAGCTTATGAGGAGGAGTGGACCCAAATACCGTTTCCATGGTTTTGAGCTTTGCTGGCTGGGGGGCAGCGATCTGATGAACAAGGTTCTCCGAACCACTCCCCATCCACTCAGCAATATCATACCCGTAAAGTTCTTCCAGAACCAGATGCCAAAGGACGGCCTTGAAGGGATTATTGAGGAGCATTATTTGGGGTTCAAAGGGCCTGAGCTGGGCACTGTGAGCCATGTCATTTCGGCCAAACGACAGTCAGAATCTCCGGCTAACCTTTCTCGCAGTTTGGCGGATCCGTCCTGACGATTTTGTTCCGTGAACAGGCTCAGAAATGGCGCGAATACGCAGAGATGCACATTAAAGCCGTCATCGTGGTCATCGACCACTTCCTTCGAAGCTTCTCTCCCAATGCTGCAGCGACAAAGAAGTCGCTCAACAACTCTGGGAGAATGCTATGCACGATCAACTCGACGAAGCCTACAAGGGCGCCCTAGCTCACGCCGAATTCCTCGTCGACTCGGAGCTTCTCGGACGCCCGTACACTTACAACCACTACTTCAACGAGAACCTCGAACGGGCACGCAGCCGTCGAATTGCAGCAACACAGGCACAGAAGGCTCACGCACAGCCAAGTGCCACCACCGCGGCTGCCGCCGAGTTTGCTAAATCTGACTCTAGCTCTAACTCGTCCAGCATCAAGGTCAAAATTAGCGTTCCACTTCAACAACCCAGCAAGACGCATGCGGACCAAGTCAAAGAGAACATCGATGTTTTGAAGAGCTACTACAAGATTGCCCGAAAGCGGTTCGTGGACGCCATCTGCCAGCAGGTGGTCAGTCTTCTTCTTCTTAATGGTGACGAAAGCCCGCTCAATATCTTGTGCCCGGAGCTCATCGCCAAGTTGACCGACAACCAACTGGAACAAATCGCGGGTGAAGATAGCGCGTCCAGGAGCATGAGGCAGGGGCTGGATGAGGAGATTGAAGGGCTTAAGGCGGCCATGGAGGTCTTTCGGACTTGAGTGGTCGGATGAATGGATGGACATGTATTGGAACGCAAATTACAAAGCATATAATGACAGTCATTGCAACCCAAATTGCATGTAGTCTCTTGGGGCCAACATCACCAGCCCCTCCCCGTCCTCGGGGGAATAACATCAGAAGGCGTGGTAGATATATCTTTTGTGTCAAAGACGCTGTTTCCACTGAAATAGTAAAAAGCTGATTCCACGGTAAGCTGAAAAGAAAAAAAAGAAAAAAAATTTTGTTATTGTAGTCACATTGCTTTTCATTGTTCTTTATGAAGATAGCAAAGGGAAAGTCCAAAGTTACGGGACATGCGACGTCTCCTTTGTATCTTTATAAATATAATGCTTCGACATTTCCTACAACAATTAGCGGTGGTCCGGTGGCGAAATGGTATCGTGTGGTCCTCCTAATATCGGGAGGATAAGACTGAGGTTGTGGGTTCGAGTCCCATCCGGATCGTCCATTTTTTGCTCTTTTTTCGTCGTTCATTTAGCATTTCCGTCTACGCATTTGATGAAGCTTTCTACGTTGATTTTTTTTTCCTTTTTTTTTTTTTTTTTTTTTTTCCTTTTCGGAGTATTCCTCTATTTTATTACGAAATTCTGAGTCTGGAGCATGATCATTATCACTGGGGTACCGAAGTGTGCGAGTTGCAAGGTCAATTCTAGTTGTTGCTTCTTGTTGAGTCACCGAATCCAAATGTTTATCAGCCGAAATTCCTCACTGCTCATGCTCTAAGAAACTCCAACTCGACCTAAAATTTCAGTAGCACGCAAACGCTTTCGTGAACTTTGTGCCTCCTCGCCCAATTGATTTTTGGCAATATTTGCTTCAATCTTGTCATCCGGCAAATAGCCTTTTAATTTGCCTATTTGATCTGTTCTCGTAACCGAATCAATTCGTTCTAGGTTACCTAGATCTCATCCTCAACCATGGCGTTCACGATGCACTCCCACTCCGGGCAATTCTGCCCCGGACACGCCAAAGACCAGCTCGAGGAGGTTATAAAACACGCCATCAGCGTCGGCTACAAGACCATCGGTCTGACGGAGCACATGCCCCGTACCCAGCTCTCGGACCTCTACCCCGAAGAGGTACGTACGGCAAGCAGTACGGTCACCAAGCAGTTACCGCACCGCACAAGACACCCAAGCGACCCTCAAAAACAAAACATCATTGACTCACAAACCATATAGCTCGACCCGGACAATGGCAAAACAGCCCTCGCTAACTTCATCCCTAACCACGCTTCCTATCTCGCCGAAGCCCAACGTCTCCAAGCCAAATATGCCTCGCAGATCCACATCCTCATCGGCTTCGAAGGCGAATGGATTCGCGGGTCCGAGTACGGTCCGCTGATTTCTTCTCTGCTGTCCTCCACCCCCTGCGTCGATTACTTCATCGGGTCCATCCACCACACCGCGGGGATCCCGATTGATTTCGACAGGGCCATGTTCCTGCAAGCGCAGGAGGCGTGTGGAGGCGAGGAAGAGAAGCTGTGGGAGAGGTATTACGACGAACAGCACGAGATGTTGAACGCGACGCGGCCGAAGGTGGTGGGACACTTTGATTTGGTCCGGTTGTTTTCCGAGGAGCCGGATCGGAGGGTGAAGGGGTGGAGGGAAGGGGTTTGGAGAAGGATGAAGAGGAATTTGGAGGAGTGCAAGGGGTTGGGGGCTTGGTTGGAGGTTAATACTAGTGCGTTGAGGAAGGGACTGGAGGAGCCGTATCCGGCGAGAGAGGTTGCTGAGGTGAGTTCCTTTCTTGTTTTTCTGTGCCCCTTGGGCTGACTGAGCATACGAGAGAGAAGAAGAAGAAGAAGGTGGCGAGGGCAGTTGCTAATCAACAAATTTGGTGAATTTACAGGAATGGATCAAGATGGGAGGAAAGTTTACGTTTTCGGATGATAGCCATGGGATTGCACAGGTTGCTACGAACTACGCAAGGGGGCTGGATTACTTGGAGAGCTTGGGCGTTACTGAACTCTGGACGCTGGAAAGGGTTCCTCATCCCGGAACAGAAGGGGATGTTAAGTCGGAGTTGAGGGGTAAGGCTGTGACCATTGCCGAATTCCGCCAGAGCTTGCGATTGGAGCAGTAGATCGGTAGGTAGTCGGACGCTTTCGGTCACTTGAAGGGATAGAGTATTGCAGAAGGAGATTGTTGGTTACTCCGGTTAAGCCAACAGCCCGTGCCAAGCCCGGAAGCCGAACGGCACGGCCCGGGCCAAAAGCCGGAAGTGGATATGTATGAACAGATGCGGAAGGGCGGATAAGATGAGACTTCCTGGTCGGTCGTGCCGCCAACACCTACGGCTGATTGTTTGTTGTGAATGTCTGATTTTTATCAGCTTACAAACAGACCTCGGGTCGCTGACGGATTCAATCAAACTGGCGTTCATGCAAGCGGGCACGAGGCCCTGATCGTCGTCAGTCAATTCGAGCCCTATGCTTCGTGTCCGCCTCTGTATCGACGGCAAAAAGATAGTCATTTGTCTGCCGATCAGTCCGGTCTCCATCCTTTCCGTCTTATCGATTTGGCCTCGTTTATTTTTGGATGTTTATCTGTCGTCGCCTCGGCAAGATGCAGTGTCAGATGAAGGTTTCTGATGCAGGCTGAGAAAAAGCCAATTCGGGACCGCCCGTCCCAGATCTTGCCAACGCGCAGGACTTTTCCTCCCTCCCTCCCTGTCTCCCTACGTACGTGGTCTGCGGTGTACCTGGAAACCCGGGCGAATGAGATGGGCGGTAACATCGTGGCTTGCTGTTGACAGTGAAAGATGTTCGTTGGTCCAGGCATGATGATCTCCAAACTTGTTTCGAGTGGACTTTTGAACATGAACGACATTTGACATGGTGCCTACCAACCCGCGAACTAACTTCAATCGTGTAGCTGAGGAATGTTGAATTTTCGATATCACAAATGGTAATAACGCAAGGGAAGACTGAAGCCAGAGTAGTTCGCAGTCATTTGGGGAAGAATGGCTTTTGTTGCGGGTGTTGATCCGTTAGTGAAAACCGAAAAGAGGGGAGGGGCGTGTGAGGAGTTAGGTGACATCTCGACACCAGGGAGTGTGAGGAGAAAAACGTTCAAGGGCCCAAGGCGGGGGGTAATGGACGGCGGGATGATCATAGTCACACGCGTGAATGGGTTCGTGAGAGTTCAGCACTTGGTTACCGGCTTGGAATGACACTGCAAGCTCGATTGAGATATAAAACATCTGACTGGTATATGATAGGCAAATCTACCACACTACGCAGATGAATTACAGTTTGGTGTTTTGCTACCGGTATTCACCTTCCTCGACTGCCGTGAGGCATGAACATTGAATTCAGCCCGGCATAAGAACACGGATTTATAAGTGGACCAAAACAGCAATCCCAAACGGAAATCTGGAATATTATTGGTTTGGAGGAAAAATTGCGGATTACCTACTGTGTGCTTTCGTCCCAAAGCCAGCAAGAACACTTGTCATGCATACTGTACCGGCCCTTGTTGCTGCACGGACCAAGGCAGGCACAGGGCAGTTCAAGATGCCCCAGGAAAATGATCTGTCGCGGGCACCAGTCTTTTTTTTACAATACACCCTCCCCCCCGGCTTGTCCATAATTGACACACCACTTGCCTCGCCCATCCGCACATCTCTATACATTTCCAGTTCCCTTGCTACACCTGGCTGCACACCCGGGCAGTCTGCTCATCCTCAATCACACACAACTCCACGTTCGGTACACGCCCGCCCGCACGCCCGGCTCCGATCCGGTTCACCAGCCCGGCCCGTTCCCGACAGGCCAGCCTCAGCTCGACTTCCCATCCGATTCCCCCAAAAAGAAGGATCGAGTCGCAACGTCATTTGAAGCACTCGACTGCACTGGACTACAGTGGGCTTCGGATAGGATAGCACGAGCTACCCCAGGGTTTCCTGGCCCCTGCTCGACATCCTTCCCCGTTACTTGTTTCGCTCTCTCCTTCCTTGAGCCGGCTTCTCTTTCTCTTTCTCTTTCTCATTCTTCGACCATGTCCTCCGGGAGCGGGCATCCCGGTCTGGCTTTTGGCAACCTCAGCGGCCAGCTCCGTCGACAGTTCCAACCGCACAACGTCAGCACGGCAACCTCCAACAAGCCGTCGCCATCGCTATCGCAACAGCACGCGTCTCCATACCAGACCCAGGCCTACGCGTCTCAACACACGCAGCATGCTCAGCAGCCACCGCAAAGCCAGTATTCACACCACCTCTACACGACTACAACTCCTCCGATTCCCAGCGTATCGACCGTTCAAAATGCCGCACGACAACCCCCGACACAGATGCCGCCAGCGATGCCACGCCAACGAGCCCCCGCTCCTCGACAAATGCAGCAGCAAGCCAACACATTGCCGAGCTATCTTCAACAATCGTTGAACCAGCAGCCCATACCTCAGCAGCCCTTGACTGCCCAGCAGTTAAGCCAACAGCCCATGAGCCAGCCGCCTATGAGCCAGTCACTTGGTCAGCAATCTCTGACGCCATCGCCCATGAGCCAAGCGCCGCTGAGCCAGGCCCTCACACAACAGTCCCTTGCTCAACAATCTCTCGCTCAACAGTCGCTCAACCAGCAATCGCTTAACCAGTCCGTTCAGAATGATAATTCCATCTTGTCCCAACAGTCGACACCACACCCTCCACCACAGACAACCCTGCCTCCAGTTCAGCCGCAGATCCCGCAAGTGCAGCAGGTTCAAAGGTTCAACAAGTGCAGCATGTACAACAGCAACCAACTCCTCCTCACCCGGAGCCCGCGGATGCTGCTCAGGACAACAATCACGATGACGACATGGAGATTAGTGGACACCAGGGCGAGTCTGGAGATGATGATGGGAGCAGCTCGAGGCTGAACGACGGAACGCCGTTTGTTCCACGACAACCACGTGGTTTGATGATGTCAGCACCTCCGGAGGGGGGAAGCTTTGCAACACTGGACGCCATTCATAAGCATGTGTTGGAATACTGCACTTCGGTAGGCTATGCCGTGGTCATTGGCCGATCGAAAAAGACGGTTCCAGGTCTCAAGAAGGTGTTGTTTGTGTGTGACCGTGCCGGGAAGCCGCCGAAGCGGGTGAGTCCCGAGATGCGGAAGCGCAAGACGACGTCCCGCAAGTGCGACTGCCCATTCGGCTTCTTCGCCATTGAGCAACGCACACAGTGGACCATCAGATACCGCCCTGACGCCATCCACCTTCAGCACAACCACGGCCCGAGCGAAAGTCCTCTGTTACACCCCGCTGCGCGGAAACTGGACAGCAAGATGGTTGCTGCAGTTAAGCAGCTGAAAGAAAGTGGTATGTCAACTGCTCGTTCGCGTCTGCCGGTTAAAGATTCTGTTAGCTGACGATGTCTAGGTGTCGGCGTTACAGAGACGCTCGAGATTCTCCAGCAGGACCACCCTCATGTCCCCCTTCTCCCGCGCGACATTTACAACGCTCGTGCGGCCATCAACCGTAACCCACAGAAGGTGGCAACTGGGTTGGCGGAGAACCGGCCCGCGATTTATAGCAAGCCACAACCGTCAGCCGAGGAGCGCATCCGTGCGGATCTGCGCCGTGAGATTGCCAAGGCGAGAGAGGAGCTCGAGAAGGTCAAGGCAGAAAGTAAAAAGGAGATTGACGAACTGAAGGCAACAATTGTCGAAAAGAACAAGATCATTGATAAGTTCGAACAGTTCATTGACATCTGCAACCAACGGGTTATTGTCAGACTGAACGATACCAACTCATCGAATGCTGCGGCGGCGAGCGGAAGCTCTTGAGCACTGAAAACAAGAATACCGAGAGAGACGGAGGAACGAAGAAAGGGAATAGAGCGAGGGGAGTGTTACTGCAAGAGTTATGTTTGGGCCGGAAAAATGCTTGTTCCCAGTTACGGGGAGGAGTTGCTCATGATTTTAGGCTCTGGGTGTAGCCAAGGCTGGTATTTGGTTTCGAAGCAAAGGCGTTGCGGCTCTGCTTTATCGGTTATATTTCTTGTCCGACTATTTGATTTCGGTTTGGGTATCATAGCGGAATGGCCAGAGGGAGTGGCTAGGGATGCTTCATGGGACACTAGGACTTGACGGGTTGAAACAGGAAATGTCAATGTACTGGATGTGGTGAATTATAGACAGCATTGTTGAACGATTGCTCGGGTAAGCTAGTGTGTTATCGTTGTCCAAAAACAAGTTCGCATCGTTCACATGTTTTCCATGCAGGATGAGCACCTCTACGGATATTGTTGATTTTTGGGTGACAAACGTGTATAGCAAAGATCCAATCTTTGTTTGTCAACCACACCCCTATATCTGGAGGTCTTGGGTTCACGATAGCTTGATACCTACACGAAAGAACGATCATGTTTGTACAAGTATCAATACATGATACATGTTTTCGGAGGAATGGGAGATGCACATGAAGTTCGGGGTTCACGGATGGCCTGGAGTTCACCTAGGTAAGGTATAGTATAGCGTTGATATCGATGCTAAGAAACCCCGCCATTGCCATGTCTAGATCTACACCCGTCGCAGCCCGACAAAAGTGGAATCCGTGTTTTAGACAGTTGGCCAATCAAAAGTCACCTTCGCAAAGTCAGGGGTTTTGACACATGGATTCGCCGCCTTTCGCGACAAGCTGTTGCCCGCAAAGCCGCGTCCCGTCGCTCTGGGATGGAAGGAACGCGGGCGCCCACCACACCACACACCTGCCGGGCAGCACCACCGCAGTCCCCTGGGCCGCACAGCAGCGTGACAGTCCGTGAACAGTGAGAGGTCTGGCGCAGTGTTCCTCGGTCACAAGAGATTCACGACACGCATCTGACCGAAACACTGAACAACCACAAAAAAGTCCAAAGGGGGGCAACATCAGCACAACACCAACAACGAACAAAGGGGCAAGCTATCCTCAGCCCGTGGTTGTTGCTCCAAGAGTAAACAATAATTCTTTGACCTTTTCAACCCACTCAACGACACTCCTTCGTCTGGACAAACAGCTGAACTTTTTGCGCACACCGCCCAGCGCCCGCCTCGCAACAAGCGATTCTAGAGCACATCCAATCCACATAGACCTAGGTAGCAGAGAGAGCACCACCACTTAGAAAGAAAGATACCCCACGATCGTCTTCTCTTCGGCCACCCAACGAGTACCTACCTTCTACGCCACTATACCATTCGGTTTTTGCTTCAGCCTTTCTTTTGCGACTGCGCCCTCGAAAACCAGTACACTAGAGGCTCGTGTCCTTTTCTTCGACTGCTCTTGCTTGTCCGCTGTGCGCCACTAGCTCGAGTAGTGTAGTGTCGATTAGAGCTTCACGTCAGTGCTATCTTGAACAACAAACGGGCAGCCACGACTTATCAACGAACTTTCACAACTTAAAGTACCCGACGACGAGCTCTACCACCGCCCATCTGTGCCGTGTACTGTAGAGACCCCGATGAACATGATCGCATAGACGGCCGAATCCCGAATCTACATCTTGCCATACTGTACCCCATCGTCTCACCTCCGGACGCACCGCTCTCGGTAGTCCATCGCCCATCATGATGGACACGGCGCCTTCGCCCCTCCCCAGCCGAGCCCGGACGCCAACGGCGTTGCGACCACGCCGTTCGCTGCTGTCGACCCCGTCAAGGTTGTCGACCATCTCGTCCTTCTGCTTGAAGCAGCCCTCGGCGCAAAGCGAGACGAGCTCGAAGCCCCCGGCAGTCTCTTGTCCAAGGTTCGCTATTCAGACACGGTCCAGCGTTGCTCTCGCTTTGCCCTGGATACCCAGGTTGCCCTGTACATACAGAAAGATATTGCTCCCACCACCACTCTTGATGGAGAGAATGGAGCCGAGGCTGAAGAGCGTAGGTTTACTTATTCCGCTCCGTCGCGTTGAGAATGTAGCTAACCTGTTCCCTGTGACAGCCGAGCCTACCCATGTCTATACCATCTCAAGCGATCTGACCTCGTCCCCGACGACCGTTGCCTTCCTCGTCTTGCTTAAACGCCCGCAACCTCTCGACCCTATCGTGCCCCTTACCTCCCAAATCCAGTTGCTCAACCTACCTGGTCCTGCCTACCTATCAACGGGCGGCGGCGAGCAGGGACCTACCAGCTCCCCCTACGAAGTCCTCCAGCTCTATCTCCATAACGGTCTTGCTCCATATTTCGATGCGAGCACCAAAAGCCAGCAGTTGCTCAACGGCGCCAGGGGCAGGCCCGATGTCGACGCCAAGACTGGAATTCCTGTTACCAAGAAGCGCTGGACTGAGCTGGAACTGAGTCTGTCGCATCTCCAGCAAAATGTCGAGATCCCTGAGGTGTCTCTGCCCTTTCACCCCCTCGTGCAGAGTACGCTCGAGGAAGCGGCCAACAAGAATGTCAAACCCTCCATCGACCTTCTTCCAGCCACCGTGCTAGCAGACAGCACTTTCCTCAACAATCTGCAGGCCACCGTCAACAACTGGATCAAATCCATTCAGGTGATTACCAAGATGACAAGGGACCCGACAACTGGCACGGCCAACCAAGAAATCAACTTCTGGTTGTCCATGGAGGCAGCCCTCGAGGGCATCGAGAACCAACTGCGGAGTGAGGGAGTTATGCTCACGCTTGATATCCTAAAGCATGCCAAGCGTTTCCAGGCCACTGTCAGTTTTACAGCTGACACGGGTCTGAAGGAGGCCATGGAAAAGGTTCAAAAGTACAACCAGCTCATGAGAGATTTCCCGCTCGATGAGTTGTTGTCTGCCACCACCCTTGGAAAGGTTCAGGAATCGATTGGGCAGATTTTTGGCCACCTGAACAAGAAGCTAAGGATATGCCCCTATCCCATCCGCCGCGCCCTCCCGTTGGTCGAAGCCATTTCTGGTGACTTGGACGAGGTCCTACACCGACTGCTTCCTGGAACGGAGCTGGTCAAACTCGACTATGAAGAGTTCAAAGGTGTCATGAAGCAGGCAGGTAGCATCTTCCGCGCTTGGGACGAAAGCATCAAAGAGTTTACCAATGTTGCTCGTGAAGTAACTCGCCGGCGTAACGAAAAGTTCATTCCTATTAAGATTAACCCACGTCACGCCGAGCTGCAGTCTCGCTTGGACTATGTCCACAACTTCCGTGATAACCACGAGCAGCTCCAAAAGACGATCATCAATGTGCTGGGCCCCAAGGCAACTGTTAATGGCATTGCCACGGCCTCCGGCGCTAATGGCGTCGCCGTCGTCGAAGAAATTGGCGATGTGGACGCGGTTGATGAGGTTAAGCAGGCTTGGGAGGCTTTGAAGGATGTTGATTTGCTTGATTGCTCTCGCGAAGGCACCGAAAAATGGGTACGCGCAGAGAATATCTACAATGAGCGCACTGCTCGTGTGGAGAATTCCATCATTGCCCGCCTTCGTGACCGTCTGGCCACGGCCAAGAACGCCAACGAGATGTTCCGCGTCTTCTCCAAGTTCAACGCTCTATTCGTACGCCCCAAGATTCGTGGTGCTATTGCCGAGTACCAAACACAGCTCATCGACAACGTAAAACAGGCCATTAGTTCCCTGCACGAGCGCTTCAAGCAGCAATATGGCCACTCGGAGGCCCATGCTATGGCTCAGCTTCACGATCTGCCGCCAGTGTCAGGTGCTATAATATGGGCCAGACAGATTGAGCGGCAACTCGATCAGTATATGAAGAAGGTGGAGCAAGTCCTTGGCTCAGACTGGGCTCTCCATACCGAGGGTCAAAAGCTTCAGAATGAGAGCGACCTGTTCAGGAAGAAGCTGGATACCAGGCCCATCTTCGAGGCCTGGCTTCATGACGTCCAGAGGAAGCAGATATCCATCTCCGGCTTGCTGTTTACTATTAACAGGATCCGCTCTGCTGGAAACATTCTCGAGTTGGCTGTGAACTTCGACGCGCAGGTCATCGCGCTGTTCAAGGAAACTCGAAACCTGCTTTGGCTCAACTATCCTGTCCCCCATTCGGTGAACAACGTGGCTAAAGAGGCCAAGCGCGTTTATCCGTTTGCTGTCAGTTTGATGGAAAGTGTCAGGACGTTTGCCCAGACAAATCGTCAGATCTCCGACATGTCCGAAGTTGCTGTGCTGCTGAGCGGTCACCGCAACGACGTGTATACGCTGATTTCCAAGGGCATACCGCTTCGCTGGGAGACCTTCGTCAATACCTACGAAGTGCACTTCAAGCCAACCTTTAATCCCAACACCCCACTGGGCCAGACAAGCTCCAAGGTCAGCGAGACGAAGCATGTCATGTTCATTCGCGAGTTCGCTGCTTCGGTTTCGTTGTTGCAGTCCAAAACTCTCCTTCTTGCCAACATCTATGTCACGGTACAGAAGGCACTGAACGAGCTCAAGACATGTCCTTACGAGGCATCGGCCTTCCAATCACGTCTCGAAACCATCCAGCATGCCGTTGACCAGCTGAACTTGGAGCAGTATGTCAACCTTGGTTACTGGGTAGAGCGCATGAACAGGGAAATCAAGGCTGTTCTGTATACTCGCTTGCAGGTCGCAATTCATGCCTGGATTCAAGCTTTCGAAGACGAGAACGTTGAGCGTCCGAGCGAGCGCAAGAGGCTTCTCGAGATCGCCTCTCCTGATGGGGTCAAGTCGGATGGGCCACTTATCAAGAACCTGGTGCACGAAATTACCATGCGCAACCAAGTCATCTATCTCGACCCGCCCCTTGAATACGCAAGAGCCAGCTGGTTTGCCCAATTGCAGGACTGGATTGGAGTTATCTGCAACCTCAAGAAGATTAAGGCGACCAGATACACCATGAGTCTTAGCAC